TTAAAAATTGTTGATAACCATTATCAACCATAATAAAATGTGCTTGATGATTATTTAATAAAAATGTTAATTTTTTCTGTCGTTTCCTTTGGATATTATAAATAAAATAATCAATTGATTCATTATTAATTTTTACTAATAAATAAAGATAAATATTACTAGTATTTTTACCCTTATTTTTTTTGGTATAAGGGTTTTTTGTATGAAATATACTAGTATTATTATGATTATTATTTTTATAATTTGATTGATGATTGTTGTTGTTTTTTCGTCGTAATAATGAATAAACTGGATCAATCAATGATGCAAATGACCAACTACAAATATTTTTTAATAAATTCATTCTTGGCATATCGAAAAATTCAAACATATAACCATTATCTAATTTTAGTTGGGTAAAATTCTGATCTAAATGTTCAGATAATGGTGGTCGATATATAATTACTGAACATTTTCCAAATTGATGTAGATGATCATCTAGAATGGAAAATCCATTTATATCATGTTCAATACCACATTGTTCTAGATGATCATCCGTATATGATTTAGGAAACCAAACATTTGTTAATGTTGTTTGAATCATCATGAACAATATGATGACGGCTATATTGACATTGATTGTCATTTTTTCCAAACGAATTTAATACGGTTTACGTTTGTTCGTTTGTAAATTTTCGAATCAAACTTTTATTATGATTGAAAAAATTTTATTTATTTATTAGTTTTTTTTAATGGAAAAATTAAATTATAACAACAATAAAATATTGTAAATTGTAATTAATTATTTAAACTTGATGTAGAAGAAGAAGAAGAAGTGAGAATTTGACTTGTTTGTGAAGTCATTTTATTATCAACATTATTACAACCACCAACGCAACCACTAATTACTTTAGTAGTTATATTATTATCATCATTCTTTAATTCAGTTTTACTTTTACTTTCACATTTTAATAAATTACTAAATGTCATTAAAAGTATGATTATTAAAAAAATTATATGTAATATTACAATTTTTGGTATCATTTTTTCCATAAATCTTTTTTCATCATCCAAAAATTTCTCTCTAAATTCATCTTTTGCTTGTTTAAACATATTTTCACCAAATATTATCATTTGTTCAAAAAATGATGTCAATTTTTCACCAAATGTTGATATTTGTTCATCAAATGGTGATCTTTTTGCATATTGTTGTCTTGAACGATTACAAGTAAAAAAATCCTGTAATGATTTCCATTTTAATGGATATTCCATTATTGAATCATCATTAGGATATGTTAATAATTTTTGATCGGTAATTAATATGAAATTCTTTTGTTTTGAAATTAATAATAATTTTCCATAAACAGTAAATGATAAATCAATCGATGATAATAATTTATTTGTTAATTGCCAATTATAACATGGTTTTTGTTGTAAACTAATTCGATAATCATCATGATTGATTGTAAAATTTTTTGTAATACAAATATAACCAACTTTATTATAATAATCTTTGTAATGATAAATTAATGAAATTAAAAGATATTGTATCATTGAATTGGATTGATTTACATTATGTATTAACATCATTTGTTCATTATCATTATTAATCATTACAAAATGTGTTTTTATTGAAAATTTTCGATGTTTTCTACGAAATTTATCTCCATAAGTATTGAAAATTTGATAAAAATTTGTATTATTCAATGAAAGTCTGACCATTAGACAAAATTTTAAATAATAATTATCACTTTGATTATAATTTGAACGTTGTAATGAATATTGTATTGATTCCGGTGATGGTGATGATGATACTAACGAACAAAATGTTTCATTTAATAATGAATGAATTTCATTCATTTGATAACGATAACCATTATTGAAAATAAATTTTGTAAAATTTTTTGTAAAATATTGAAATAATGGTGGTGGATAAATTATTATTGAACATTTTTCAAATTGATATAGATAATTATCATTGATTACAGACAAACCATAAATATCATAATCAAGACCACATTCAACAAATTTATTATCATCGTTGGACGATGATCGTGTTGGTGGTGGTAATTTTGGAAACCAAATATTACGAAAATCTTGTTTTGTTGTTGTTTGTAATTTTTTCTGATTTGTAAATGCAAATAATAGTAATGTGACGGCTATATCGACAATTTTGATCATGATTAGTTGTTTCAGAAAAGATTGTTTAGTTTCAAATCAAACTTTTATTATGGCCGATTGAAAATTTATTTATTATTGATATTTTTTTTTAATTATAAAAATTAAATTACAACAAAAATTATAAATTGTAATTGTAAAATTGTAATTGATTAATTAATTAAACTCGAAGTAGTAGTAGAAGAAACGGGAGAAGAAGAAGAAGAAGTGAGAATTTGACTTGTTTGTGAAGTTATTTTATTACCAACATTATTACAACCACCAACGCAACCACTAATTACTTTTGTAGTTATATTATTATCATCATTCTTTAAACAAGTTTTACTTATAATTTTACCATCATTTTTATTTTTATTTTTACTTTTAGTATTACAAACAATCATTAAAAGTAAAATTATCAATAAAATCATATAAATAACGGCAACATTTGAAACCAATTGTGTCATAAATTTATCTCTTTCTTTATCAAAATATTGGCTCATTTCATTTTGAACAAATTTTAATTTATCTTGAAAAAATGATGCTATTCCATTTTTAATATTATTAGCTTGCTTGGAAATTTCATCTAATATTGATCTTTTAAAATATTTTTGTTGTTGACTTAACTTATCATCTTCGGATGATGTTGATGTTGGTGGCGTTGGTGTTGTTGATGATGATTTTGCAAACCGAACATTACGTAAATCTTGTTTTGTTGTAAGTAATTTTTTCTGATTTGTTAATGAAAATAACATTATAACGATGATAATAATGACGACTATATCGACAATTTTGGTCATAATTATAGTTTACAAACAAACAAAAAACCATATTCATGACCTTCAAAATAAATTTAAAATTATTAATCCATTTTATATTAATGGTTTGAAAAAAAATAATTAAATTAAATTGAACAAAAAAAATTACATTATTTTTATTAATTACAAAAAATTTACAAATCAAAATTAAAATTTTATCCATTGAATATCACCACCAGATTTACCGGATTGTTGTTGTTGTTTGTTTGTTTGTTTATTGTTTTTTCCCCTTTTCTTCATTTGTTTTTGTTGTTGGTGTTGTTGTTGCTGATATTATCGATGTTAATGATAATGGTGATAATGTTTTTAACGGTGTTATTGTTGATTTTGGTGTAAATAATGTTGGTAATGTTGATTTAGATGCACATGTTGTTAATGTTGAATTTGATGGAAATCTAGTTGTTGGAAATGTTGGAAATGTTGATTTTGATTTGGTTGTTATTGATGATAATGATAATTTTGATTTAATTGATGGATATGTTAATTTTGATTTAAATGATGGATATGTTATTGGTATTGATGATTTTAATAATAATGATGATTGTTGTTTTTCAGTTGGTATTGATGATTTAAATTCTATTAATGATTGTTTATGTAATGATGATGTTGGTAATGGTAATGGTAATGATGATGATGATTGTTGTCGTCGTATAGTTTCTATTCGTTTTCTAATCGATATTGGTGATGATAAAAATATTTTCTTATATAATTCAAATGGTATTAAATTATAATGTATCATTATAACTGATAATATTATTAATAAACCAAGAAATAATAATACCATTGTTGTTGTTGATTTAAATTTTTCCCAAAATGTTTTTTTAACCAACATTTTATCATTATTAATTAATGCTTTTGTATCGGATGATTTATCTTTTTCTTTTGGTTTTACAGTTGTTGATTTATCTTTTGATCTACAATGAAAAAATTCTTTTAATGATCGTACTTCTAAACGATATTCTTGAGTATCATGAAAATTTTCAAATAATTTTTCATCAATGACATATAATTTTTGTATTACTTTTGATATTAATAATGATTTATTATAAATATTAAATGTAAAATTTACAGATGATAATAATGATTCGGTTAAACGCCAATTATCACATGGATATTTTTGTAAATTTATATGATAAATATTTTCATAACCTTCATCTAAATGTTTTATACAAATAAATATAAATTGTTTTTTACTTTCAATTTTATAAATAGATGGATCTTTAATTAATTGATATTGATGACCATTACTTTCATCATTATTATCATTATTATGATAATCATTATGTAACATTAATTGTTCATTACCATTATAAATCATTATATAATGTGTATTTGGATTATAATATTTTATATGTATTATAAATTCATTATTAAGTGATGAATCATATGCTAAATAATCAAAATAATTTTCTTCTGATTTAGTTATTAAATTTAATCGTACATGTTCATTTAAATCAGATTGTGGTATTTTGTTTATCCGTATTAATGAATATTTTGGTTTTATAAATGATTGTTCAATCATTGGACAAATACGTTCACTAATACCTGGTTGTAATTCACTGAATTCCCACCAATAACCACGATCAAAATATAATTTTGTTAAATTTTTATCCAAATATTCATCGATCAGTGGTCGATATATTAATACTGAACATTTTTTAAATTGATAAAGATAATTATCAAGTATTGATATACCATACATTTCATGACTTAAACCACATTCAACTAAATTTTTATTTGAATATGATATTGGTCTCCAAATATATGGATCTTTTTTCAATGTTTTCAATGTTATTATTGTTTTTGGTAAATATAATAACATTATCATTATTATAATGATAAAAACTTTCGTCATATTGCTTATGGCGGCTATATTAACACAATGTTGGTTGTCAAAATTTGATCTTTTCTGGATGGATTTGTTTTGTTTCAATTTAAAACCAAAATAAATTTCAAAAACAAAAAAAAACTTTTTCAACTAAATTCCCCGAGCAAATTGAATTGATTTTTATTCCCCCCCACAAAAATGGGGGAAAAATTAAATTAAAATTAAAAATTCTGAATTTATTTTTTTTGTAAAACAAACAAAAAAAATCTAATTTTGTAATTTTTGGTTTAAGATTTTGTTTCACTCATTGTATCACTCATCGGATCCTCCAAATTCGATTGTAATCGTTTTTCTTTTGATGATGATTGCGGTGGCGGTGGCGCTACTGGTGCGGCTACGGATTTTGATTTAGATAATTCTGGAGTAAATGATTTTGACTTTGTTTTGGATAATTCTGGTTTAGATTTTGGTTTTGACTTTGGTTTGGGTTTGGATTTTGATAATTCAGGTTTCGACTTTGGAATTGATTTTGATTTTGATAATTCAGGTTGCGACTTTGATTGGGATGAATCTGGTTTAGGTTTTGGTATTGACTTTGGTTTGGATAATTCGGGTTTAAGCTTTGGAATGGATTTTGGTTTTGTCTTTGGTTTGGATTTTGGTTTGGTTTTTCTACCAGTTTTTGGTGATTTTCCACCTGTTTTTGGTGATTTTCTACCGGTTCTTGGTGATTTTCGTTGTTTTAATGGCTGTTGTTGTTTATTGAATGCTGTTACTAATGATGCAACATGTTGATTTGGAATTGCTGAACGAATACTTGGTTCTTTTAATACTGGTTTGATTGATTGTTTTTCATCAATGGCCGATGTTGTTGTTGTTGTTGTTGCTGCTGTTACTGATGGCAATTGTTTAAGAAAAGCTTCTCGTAATTCTTGAACATTAACTCCTGGTGGCGGTTGTTGTTGTTGTTGATATTGAAGATTAACCTCCGCTGATGGTGGTGTTGGCTGTTCTTGAAAATTATCCGATGGCTGTTGTTGTTGTATTCCTTGAATATTCACTTCAGATGATAGTGATGATTGTGAATTTGTTTGTGGTGATAATAATGTTGTTGATGATGTTTCACCATCACCAACATCACCATATTGTAGTTGTTGTTGACCAGTTTCATCTACTTCTACTTCCTCTTCCACTTCTTCTTCTCCATCTTGTTTTCCATGATGACGGGGATGACGACGACGAAGACGAAAACCATGTCTTGGTTTTTGATTCAATGGATAAATATAAAATTCAAATATTAAAAATATTGTAAATAATATTACAACAATTAATATCATTATTAATAATATTAAAATTATAATTCCGGCTATACGATTTCCTTGTCCAAACTTTAGTATTAATGATGATGCTGTTGTTGTTGTTTTTGTTTCAATCATTGATATTGTTGTAAAATCATTTTCATTACCAGTATCATAATGAAATTCTTTATCAATTTTTATTAATGAATTTTCATCATTATTTACAACCAATGAATTACAATCGATTAAAAATTCATTAATCGATTTCGTTTGTAGAGGGTATTTTTCATTTAATCTTTTTTGTAAAAATAATTCATAATTTATAATGAAAATTTTTTGTTCTTCAATCGAAACCAGATATAACCAATGTCGTTTATATGTAAAACCATAGCTAATTTTTGTCAGAATGTTTTTTGTAGATTCTAATTCATGTTGTTCACATTTTGTTTCAACCGATATTAAACGAATTTTCGTATGATCCGAATCAATACAAATATTTGCATCAGGTTGACGATTTAATGGACTTTTTAGATATTGAATTTTTTCATTATCTTCATTTTCATAAAGTATCAGATGTGAATTATGAAAACCACTAATCAATATCCATTGTGTTTGATATTGATATGAACGACGTATGGATGTTTGTTGTAATGGATTATTTATTGTATAAAATTCATAATTATATTCAACTGGTGAACGTTTTATATAAACAGACATTAATTTTCCCCATTTTTCATGCTGTACAAATGTAAAACCAAAATGTTGATGATATTCTTTTAATGATAATGTTCGTGAATAATATTGTAATGTATTTAAATCAATATCATTAAATAATAACCAATTTTTATTTATTTGTTGCATTAATATTCTATGTTGTTGTTGTTGACCATTTTGTCCTAAATTTAATTGCTGTTTATCCGGATTAAAATGATCATTTAAATTATCATAAATCATAACGGTAAAATCTTTAAATACTTGTATTATTTTTTCATGTAAAAATGATATGCTTAATGTTTGATTAAATTGTTCCCGATATGAACCACATTCGGTTGATATTTTTAATATTGTTTGATTTGATGTTTGTTGTTGTTGTTGTTGTTGTGATCTTTTTGATTTTGATTTTAATGATAATGTTGGTGACCAAATCAATGTTGAAACGATAATCATAACGATGATCTTGGTTTTTGATGGTGAAATCATCATTATCCACGGATATTAACTAACTTTTTGGTTGTTTGGCGGATTGAAACGGGTTGAAAACCTCGATGAAAACAGAGAATTCGAGAAAGAAACAAATAAAATTTACAAAATTTTTATCCAAAATTTTTATTTACTAAACCAAATGATAATTTAATTTTAAAAGAGAAAAAAATTAAAGAATTTATTTACAATCAGAAAATTTTATAAGATTATTATTATTATTATTGAATTATAATTTATAAAATCAAAAACGAAAAAAAATCAAATGAAAAACAGACGAGAAAGAAAAAAACAGAATCATAAGAAAAATTACAAAAAACAAGAATATTCTTCATTTTTTTTGTTTTGTTTTTTAAAATTATTATTCCATTATTGAATGATAAGATTTGTGTCGATGATAATCACGATTATCATTAGTATTTGAAGATGTCGTCGATGGTTGATTATGATTAAATTGTAAACGTGGACATTCATGATTACGTTCCGGATATTGATGTTTATCAATCAAACGATAATGACATATACGCAGTTCATGATGTTGTTGTTGCGGATAAAACGATGATGATGATGGATTCCAGTAAGAATTTCGATTTGATAATGATGATTGTGGTTGATAATAAGTATGTAATAAGGATTTTGATGATTCTTCCTGGTGATAATATCTATTATCATCATTTTGTATCATTGAATCGATTAATGTTGAAATAGTCGTAGTCGATGTTGTTGTTGATATTTTTCGATGATGATGATGACCTTTACGACGTTTACGTTTTTTACGTTTATTTTTTTGATTTTGTTGATGATGATTATGATTAACCATCGATGAATCTGCTGATGTTCGGCTATTAATTTGATTATTATTACTATCTAACAAGGTAGAAATAGTCATCGTTGATGATGATGATGAGGGTTTTAAAAATTTTGAACCACCTTCCTTATCTTGAATTGGAATCTGAATCGAATCGATTCGTTGATTTGAATAATAACCATCCAATGATAAGGATTGATTTTTTAGATTTTTTAATGTTAAGTAATTAAGAAAATTGTTATTATTTACTGATAAACCACCGGTTGATCCAGATAATGATGGTGAATAAAATTGTAATAATTCATTTTGTTGTTGTTGTTGTTGTGGATCGGATGTTTTTGAATCCATTGTTGATCCAAAATATTGATCAGATAACCCTGATCCAGATAATTTTGCTGATGGAAATCTTGATAATTTTGTATTGAATATTGATCGATGATTAACGGGATAATTTTGCCGTTGTTGATGTTGATGATAATGCTGATGTTGATGATGATGGTTATGATGATGACCATATTGATGATGATGATTATGATAATAATATTGATTATAATTCACCGGTATTTGTTCCCAACAATTTAATGCTTCAGGTAATGTTACATGATCGATTGATACTTTATACCAATCCAATTTGGTTAATAATATATGTGCCATACATGATGGTATAAAACAAGCACTAACATTTGTTAATGTTTTTATCATTTGTTCCGATAATGAACGGATATATTGAATACGTTCTTGGTCATTTATTAGACCACCATTACCAATTCCATGACCACCTTGACCAACACCCCCACCACCAGTAACAATACCATCCATATATAATTGAAATTCATCATATTGAAATTGTACAATAAATAATGGTGTTGATAATGTTGGATAAAGACGATAACCAAAAAAACAACGCCATGGTTCCTGTGGATATTGTTTGGCACATGATTCTGGTACACGACTATTCCATAATCTTGATTTTTGAAAAAAAATTTTGAAAAAAGTTAACATTAATATCAAATAGATGGCGCAACCGGTTTCATAAATGAATAAAATAAATACCTATATGCACCACGAATTGTTTCGGTTGGTGGACAAAAACCATCGGTACATGGTGCTGTCGATGATGATGATAATTTGGATGAACTTTGCTGTTGATCATCCATATCCATAATCCAACCAGAATCAGCCAAACCACGTACATCAGCCATCGAACCAGAATCGGCAATCTGTTTTGCAACACGATCCAAATTAATCATAACACCAGCAGCACCGGCTGATGATCCAGCTAATAATACAAATTTTGCATGTAAAAATTGATATTTTGGTGAACGAATTAATTCACCAATAACTTCATCAATAATACGTGAACCTAAAAATGACATTGTCATTTGTGATGATTGATGATTAGCCGGTTGATCACCGCTCCAAATATCCGATGAACAATATGGTATGAAAACATGATTGGCATTCCACCAATATGGATTTATTGTCGGTGATGATGATAATATTCCGCTAACTATAAATCAATCAAGGGTTAATTAATTTTCAATCAAAAACAAAAAACTAATAGAAAAATCAAATATCATACCAGTTTTATATTGACTCCAACGAAATGATGTCATAAAATCACGCATTTTATACCAACGTTGATCACATGCTTGTTTACTCATACAATACCAACCACCTTCTAAAAATATTAACCAACGTTTTGAACCATTTGGTGATTGTCGTATGTAATAACCAGCACGTGTACCATCATTACATGTAACCGATGAATTCGATAACCATTGCAGATGCATTGCAGAATATTGATGCGCAAGTTGTGCAAATAATTGCTGTTGTTGTTGTTGTTGAGCTGAATTTGATAATTTCGATGATAATTTTGATTGTTGTTGTTGTTGTTGTTGAAATTGCATTGAATATTGTAATGGACGTTGTTGTTGTTGTTCCGATGATAATACAGATAATGATGGTGATTCTTCATCATTCATCATACGATTTAAATATTCATCGTTATCATCATTATCATCATTTAATTGATCAGATAATGAAGAGGTAGTTGTCGATGAAGAATTATTTGCTTGTAACAGATAATCCTGATGTATTGATGATAATGATGATGATGATGTTGGTATCGATTGTATCGATTGTTTAAAACGATATTTAGCACATGTTGTCGATATAATAACACCCATTGTTAATAATAATATTAATGGTAATATTTCCATGATTGTTGATAAACAAATTGTTGTTGTTGATGATGGTGATTGTATCGATAGTGATGGTGATGAACGATTCAAATTTACAATCGATGATTCGTTGTTATTGTCGTTGATGTATTGTTGTTGTTGATTCATCGACAAATTATCGATTGTATCGATTAAAATATTATTAGATTCCGTTTTATTTCGTTTCGATTGTTGTTGTTGTTGAACCGTATCAAATGTAAATGAATTTAATTTCTGATATAAACATTGTGGATAAGTTTGTTTTGTTTTTTGAACAACAATTTGATTATTTAATGATTCAGATGATATTAACGATGTTAATGATGATGATGATGATGGTGAAAAATTGTCAATATCCTCATCATCGATACAATCGATATTTGGTTGTAAATCCGTTGTTGTTGTTAATCGAAATGGATAATAAAAAAATGTATTATAATGATAATAACAATATGAATATTGACGATAATTATTGATTATTGATTTTTGTTGTTGTTGTTTTGGCTGAAATTGTTGTTGTTGTTGTTGATATGACCAGAATTTTAACCAAAATTTATTATCATTTTTCCATTTTGTTATTGTTTTAGTTGTTTTTTGAAAATGTTTTTTACATCGCCTGCGACGACGACGTCGATGATTACTATTGTCACGTAATGTTTTTCTTGTTGTTGTTGTTGTTGTTAAACCAGAACAATTTACAGAATTTCGATTCCGACAAGAATCTAACGTGTTAAATTGTCCATTTTGATAATGATGAGGATGATGATGATCAATGATAATTGATGAAGCCGTTTTGATTTTTTGTTCAAAATTATTTTCACTATTCACAGTTGATAATGGTTGTTGTTGTTGTTGTCTGTTTTGTTGCTGTAAATCGAATGATTGTTGTTTTCGTTGAAGTAAATGAACATTTTCATCATCATCATCATCGTGGTAATCCTGATGATGATGATGATGATGATCGACAACTTGATTTAGTTCACTATCAACAACAACAACAGCAATTATCATTGATGATTGATCATTGATATTATCATCATCATTACCATTACCATTATTATTATTATCGTTCAACGATAAATGGCCACGACCATTTTTATTTTCATCAACGCCTTTATTATCGTTATATTTACAATTACAACAAGATTCATTGATCAATGAAGAAAATGGTTTCTGTTGTTGTTGTTGTCGTTGTTTAATATTTTTACTTTGATCTTGTTGTTGTTGTTGTTTTCGGTGATCTTCATGAATAAAATATTGTCGGCATTTATTTCTTTGATCTTTACTCTCATCATCATAATCATTTTGATCATCAACACCATCAATAGCAGAAGCTTGACTAGCTGTCAAGATCAAAGATGAATAAGCCGACAACAATGATGATGACATTGGTGATAATGAAGAATTCATTGATAACGATTCTTTTGGTTCATCGATTAATGCTTCTATCTTTTTATCTTTATTGTGGTATTGTTCTTTAGATTCTACCACTACTATTTGTGGTGTTGCTGCTATCATAATATTTTCTTCATTCTTGATAATCTTCATCTTCTTCTTTGAATTATCATTTTGGTTGTTGTTATTATTATTATGGTCATCATCATCATCATTGAAATTATCGTCGTTATCGTTATCATCGACCAACATCCGAATCTTTGATCTTGCCGCCATTATCGATGATGATAATGCCGACATATCTTCAATGGATAATGATTTTGTTTGTTTGAATCGTCTTTGTCGTTGTTTGAATCAAAATGACCAATATGATGATGATAATTTGCTGGAACCTCCTATTGCCACTCCTATTTTTACGCCCCTTGATGTTTTTCACTGGTTAAAATGAAACAAAAAAAAGGCGTCACACAATTGATTGGTTATTGACAGGTCGAAACAAACTATAAATTATTGATTGATTGATTGATTGATCTGTCAATCATCAAAAAAAAAAATTAAACTGATGTCCAAAGGTGTGTTTGTGTGTTCATTTCCATTTCATTTGATTCCAAAAATTGCAAAAACAAAAATGAAAATCGAAAATTTCAATTTGAAAAATTCAATTCAATTTTACAAATCGAGAATCGAGAATTGAATTTTGGCAACAAAAAAATCTAATTATAACAGCAGCATCAACATCAGAGAAAGTGAAAAGAGAAAAACAAAAACAGGAAATTTTCCGAAAATGGAATTGAAAAAATTGATTTCTCATCATGGCCGCAGGGTGGGTGGGAAAATGGGAAAGAACGCCAAAAATATTACAATAAAAAACCAGGAATTTTTAACACCCGAAAACCAGAAAAAAATGAAATTTTTTTAAATTAAATTCTCTCTCACTCACTCCCTACAAACAAGAAAAAAAAGATAAAGAAAACCACGAAACACGAAGAATCTATAGACAAAATCGAAGACAATGTAGATGAATTGAATGAATGAAAAAAACTCTTGACTTTTGAAAACATCCAGGGAAAAGAATTTGAAAAAAAGATTTAATTTCATTTTTTCGGTTTTTTTTGAAAATGGCAAAATGAAATGCGCATGCGTATCACTTTAAGATGTTCATTTCTTTTCAGTCGACCAAAAGATTAATCAATCAAAAAGTCTATTTTTTCGATTTTAAAAAAGTTTTTTCGTTTTTGTTAGACGATAAGAGAAAATTCCGAAAAAAATATTTCCAATAAAGTTTCTGGAATGTTATTGCTGTCAATTTCTCAAATATATTTTCGTTTCGGAAAATTTTCTCCAAAAATTTTTTCTTAATTAATTTTTTCTTGGTTTGGTTTTGGTTTTGGTTTGATTGATAATAAACCAGACACAACACAAAAACGAAGCCAAAAAGAAAATAAACAAACATTTAAAGACAGAGTTGGACGTTACCAGTTATATAATCAGTTCTTCGTCTGACTTGCATAGAATCCAAACCAGTAAAGAAAAATTCTATAGAATTTCCGATAAGATTTTCTTTGGAAAGAAAGAAAAGAAAGAAAGAAATCTAATTTTATTTTTCACAAGAATTGTATACAATCGCGAAGAATTTGTTCAATTTTGCTTTCCGGAAAATTTCTTTAGAAAAAAAATTCCAGAAATTAACGATGACAACCATCAATCTGAACTGATCGTTTTGTGTAGATCGGTGAAAATCTTTCCGAGAAAATTTCCCAACATTCATTTCATTCATTGATTTGTAATTAATCTTTTTATTCTGTTCACTTCTTTTAAATTAATTAATAAATCATTTTTGAATGAATAATTTTTGCCAAAAGAAGAAAGAAACATCACATTACATTGCATTCAATGATTGATTGTTTCAGTGTTCAGTCAGTCAGACGATGTTTGCCTTTTTCACACTTTCTTTCTTTCAGTTTTTTAAAAAATATTATCTCTAATGGAATCCGTTGAATAGAAATTTATCGATCCAACAACAACAACAAAGAGATTGAAAAAAAGTGATGTTTTGATGGAATTCAAGCCAAAATGTGTCGAAATAGTATGCCAAATTTCAATGAACTGTGGGTTAAAATCGATTTTTTTTTTCGTTGTCGTTACACAAAACAAAAATGAAATTAGAGAACTATTCAGAGAAATTTTCTGGGAAAGGGGAATCCTGAAACTTTTTTTTATTCTCAAATTTCATAAATTTTTGAACTAAATTTTCAACAAAATTATTACCTGAACACGAGATGGCTAGGTGAAAAATATATTCGGCTGATTCAATTCGACAAAATAAAACACACACACACCAAAAGTTGATGTTGATTATGTAATGATGATTCAAATGTTGCAACCAAACAAAAAAAAAATCTTCTTTTGCTTTTTTTGGATTGTTTTTCACTTTCTTTTTCTTCTTCAAATTACATCATGATTGGAATGAATGGATGGATATAAAATGATGAAAATGAAAATGAAAAAATCCATAAAGTAAGTAATGTAATCAGAAAAAAAATTGTGCGCAAATCAACATTTTAGGTTAGGTTAGTTGGTCTGTTTTTGATTGTTGTCAGTAAAGACTTGCGCGTTTTTCATTTTTGGATGCTTTTGCACGCGTGCGCACGTGTTTTTTTTGCTAATTTGATTGATTGATCGATTATTGATTGGATAATCGATAAACCAAAAAAACAACAACAACCAGAACAAATTGAAAAATATTTAAATTTCAACAAAATAAAAAAGATGTTTTTTTTTGTTTTTTGAATTGAAAAACATTTTCTCTTTTTTTGTGTTTTGACATTTGTTTTGATTGATATTTTCCGTTTTTTTTTTCTTTTCTAAGGAAAATATTTTGATCAGTTCCCTCTCTCACTCTTATAAGATAAAAATTGCCTGAGAAAATCAAGAAAAACAAACCAAAAAGAAACAAAAAGATTGCCGCTTACACACAAAGACAAATTGAGCATTAGATTGTGATTGCGGCTTTGATCAAATGAAAAAGCCTCAATCAATTTCAAATGAACTGATAAACTGGATGCCGACAAACGACAAATGACAATCAGCAAAAAGAAAGAAAGAAAGTCAAAAGATATCAATCAATGTTTGATGTTTTTTTATCCATCAAACAACATCATAATAACAACATCATAATGTTTATTAGCAATGTCATTTTATGATGATGATGATAATGATGATGACAATATTTATGCCATCAATTTGGTTTCTTTATCACTGATTGATTTCCGAAACATTTCTCTGATTTCTTGGGAATTTTCTTCTGTTTGTTACAACAACAACAGAAAATCTATATAAAGAAATTCAATTACCGTTATGGGTCACCCGATGATTGAATCATACCAGGAATTATCAAAAAAAAAAAATCGGATCAAATTTCTTGATACTTTTTTCTTGATTTTTTTCTCAATTCCTTTGGGTGATTAAGGAAATTATTCTGTTCATTGATTCAAATCATCATCATCATCATTTCCTGAAATGAATTCCATTCCCAATGAAATCATAAATGACAAATGTTCAATGCTTTTAAGCTAAAAGGTGAAGCTTCATTCTTCTATGAATTCATCAAAATGGAATCCCTGTCCAAAGGAAATTCAAAAGAAATCAAATCAAGTCAATCAAGATTAACTAATTTCTGTTTTGTTGTTGTTTTGATCAGATCCAGAATCGCAAACAGAATTTCCATTTCTTTTACGATTCTTTTCTTTTTGATTATCAATCGAGAAACCGAAAAAAAACTAATAATAAAAATATTCAATAACGATGGCGATGGTGATAACGATAATAATAAAATTCTTGGTTTTTCAATTAGTTGTTTTTTTTGATCAAACAAAACATGTTCCAATGGCGATGATGATGATGAAATTTATTCAATATCGATAACATTTGTTTTTATGTAAATAACTTTTATGTAAATAAATATTTTCTGTTCCTTTTAATCAAAAATAATAATAATTTCTATTCAATAAAAATACCTATAGATCAAAATTTAATAATAAGAATAATAAAATTGAATGGATGGCCAAAACTATCGATATAATCGATATTTATGGTTGATGATTGTTAGTTATTTATAACTATTAACGCAAGTAATTTTTCAAAATTCCTTTTTACCGTGAAAAAAACGAGAATATTCTTCGCTGATGATGATAATTTGTTTAGAAATTCAATCAACCATTACTTGGGCTATTAAAGAATTTTTTGGATTCTTTTCCCATCATCATCATCATCATCGTTGTTGTCGAAAATTACTTGAAAAAAAAGACTTAGCGAAACAAAGAACAAAGATACTTTTCAAAGATTATCAAGATCATCATCAACACAGAATATTCTTCAGTTGTTGTTGATGTTGTTGAAAAGAATCATTCAATCGAAAATTTCATCAAAAAAAAAATGAACAATGAACAAAAAATCAATGTTGCTGAACAACAACTACAACAACTTTCGACATTGTCTAATTTTCATAGACTATATCGATCCATGTAGCTTCGTTTCGTTTTTCACTTTTTTTCTTTTGTTTGTTTGTTTCTGGATATAATGGAACAGAATCGAGTGAAACTGGAATCAGAATTAGGCTTCGCATCGCCCATTGTTTATCAAGTACAGAATTCTGTTGTTTTTTCGGAAAAGATTCTCTTTGAAGAATATTCTTGACTTTTATTACAATTTGATTCTGGTGATGGAATAAAAACATGTAAAATGAATTAAGAATTTCTTTCTTCAGAATTGGTTAAAGAAATCTTTGAAGAAAAAACCCAAAAAAACGAGAAATTTTCCCAGAAAAAAAATCACCACAAATAATCAATCAACATTTACAAGAAACTTCCGTAAAATGAATATTTATAAAGTCATCATCATTGTCATCAGGAAATCCAGACCAAAACGGAAAAAAATCTCTGATGGATTGATCGATCGATCATGGGAAATACGAATTACTGTCAAGCCAATGAAACTTTATTTTTCATTTAATTTTCTTTTCGTCGCCAACAAACTTCGGAAAGAAAGTTCCGATCAATCAATCAATCAATCAATCGATCTTTCGTAATAATCAGATCAAAAATTTATTTCGCAACCAAACCATAGATGACAAGCGGCAAAAACTACAACAACAAAAAAAAAATCAAAGAAACCGACCGACCGACCAATCGACAACAAATCACCTTTGTCAGATCGATCGATCGATCGGTAAAGATCAAAGAAAGATGATAGAAAAAAAAACAGCAGGAACAGCAAACACCCATAGCTCAGGTAAACAGCCAGGTACGACTCAATCAAAAAATGAAACTTTCAAAAGGTGAATTTAAAATTAAATGATAAAGCGAAACCGCATACGATTACGTCATTAATTCATTTTGCAGGTGCGTTTTTTTTGAAAATTAAATTAATCGATGAACAAAAATGATCAATTTTTTAAAGTAAGATTCAAAGAAATTTCCCAAGAAACTTTCCAAGAAACACGTGCAACAACAACAAACGAACGAATGACTTCTTCTCGATTTAGTTGTTATTTTAATTTTTCTTTTCTTCGCTCTCTTTTCATGTTTTTCTTTGATGTTTTGCCGATCCGATGATGATTATCCATACTCACACGCAACGAATATTAACGAAGAGAGAGAAAACGAAGCGAAAATTGTTTCACAATTGTTTCGTTTTATGAAACAAAAACAGAAACAACAAAAAAGTTAAAAGTAAAAAATGCCGCCAAACACATTGATATGGTCATTTTGTCACCGATTTTGTCGCCAAGTGAATTATCGTTAAGTTCATAAAATTTCAATAATAAAACTAGGTCAAAGGTCATTTGTAGATTCAATGATGATGATGATGAAGATTTTTTTTGTTTGATACATATTGTTACCGACCTATCAATCAATCGATTAGACCTTTTGTGTATCAATCGATTGATCAACTTGAAAAAAATTGAATCGAAAATTGACATACACACACCGACCATATGGTCATGTGGTAGTTTCCCATGAATGATTTTTGAATCAAAAAAAAACTTCGTTTGATGTTTGCCGCTTCAAGTCGATCATCATCGGTTGTTGTCGGAAGATTCTCTATATGCCGATTACGTAACCAAAAAACTGATTTCGACAAAGAATTTCGAATTGAAATCACCACCACACTTGTCACGCGACAATTTTTTATTTTATTTATTGAAAAAAAACTTCGGCATTTTTTTCTTTCATCTTTTTTGATCTGATTATCATCATCATCATCATCGTTTACGTTTTTTTTTGTTCATCAATGAATGATGTTGGCAAGAAATTTAACAAGCGAAAATTTAAAAAAAAACATCAAGGTTGAACAAGAAAGAAATACCGACCCGCAAGCTATTCGGACCTATCTAAAGGAATAAAAAAAAGTATCCAATTGAGAAATTGAAGAGAAAACCACAAAATGTTCAAACAAACAAACAAATAGCTTGCGCGGCTTTATTTTACTTATTTTTTTTCGGTTGTTATTTAGAAAAAATATATAACTATAGCTCGCGCAACAAGTTATAAACAAGCGCGCGAGCTTTACGCTAAAGAATAATATTTTTCTTTGTTTTGTCGGCAAATTTCTTTTCTTTTTTATGATGATGATGATGATATTTACCACTATCCAAAAAAAAGAAATGGAGAAACTTTCTTGGAAATTTTTTTTATTTTATGCAAATGAAACAAAATCAAAACGAAAAATTGATTGAAACAAGCAAGGAGCGGTTGTGACCAAACGAAAAAAAAAACTAAACCAAACCGAAATTTTGATTTATCGGATGTTTTTGGATGAACAAACGAAAAAACATCAAAGATGATCATCTTGCTTTGGAAAACCTATGATTAAAATTCAAAACATTTCATCACCTTTTCATCATTTGCTGAAATTATCATCATCATCATCATCTTGATCTTGATAATGATGATCGAAGATTATTGAAGAAAAAAAATCGTTGATCAAAATACTAAAACTAGATGTTTTCTATTTTTACATCCTCGTCCACATTTCTTATCTCATCACCTAATCACCTTAATCGCCATCGCTCGGTCGGCTTTTCTGTTTTTGATCCTGAAAAGCAAACTAGCGAACGCGAAAAAATTCATTTAATTGAATTTAATCACCGTTGAAAAAAATATCAAGATTCCTTATGGATGATAACCAGAAAAATGAAAAATTTGAAATTCAAAAATTCATTTTAAATTCTACAACCAAAAACTTTTTCTTTCATTTTTTTGGGGGGGATTCTTCTTTGGTGGAAAGTTTTGTCTTTATTCAGCATCCAGCAGTTACTTTGCACCTGGCTTATTTTGCATTGCGCAGGCGTTTCATTTTCAAAAGTGCCGCCTTGGC